GACCTGGCCAGTTCTAGTGGGGTCTAATAACATTGCTTGTAAGATTATGTTGGATTCAAAAACTTTGTGCATTATAAGTAGAGACGGCAAAACGGGCTTGGCTTGCAGGCAAAACTTTGTGCATTATAAGTAGAATCTCATTATCATTATAAACTGAATTTTTATCATAAGATGGATCATCATCATAAATCGAACAATCATCATAATCTCCAAGAGATTGACATCCTCCTCTTCATCATCAAAAAGTTAGGATACTATACAAGAGTAATTCTCCGATTCTCAATTTCTATTAATAAAATAACAAAATTCAACTCCTCCAATAAGGGTCATAAACACTTTTTTATAGACTAATTATAAACTGATTCGAAATCCCAAATTTAATATCCTAAAATAGAATTAGATGCTATGAAAAATTTTCTATCATATTTTATTCTGTTATGTGTTGGGAACTCAGTTCCTTCAAGCTCGGCTAAGCAGCCTTTTTGTACGGAAGTCAATCAGCAAGATACTGATCTCGGATCTCGGCAATACCTCGGCCTGAACTTCACCAGTTCGGGCTGCGCAGCGAAAAATCAAAAACGCAAATAGGAGAGAGAGAAGAAGAACACAAACAGATTTTAACGTCGGAAAACCTTCTCCAATGAAGAAGTAAAAAGCCCACGGGACTTAGTTCAGATCAAAAATCCACTATGAAAATAATGGTTACAAATAATCAAATTCACCAATGTGGTGGTTAACTCAACCTCTCCAACAATGGTGATAATCAAACCTCCCTATAGATGTTTCACTCAAACTCTCTACAGATCTCTCAAACATAAAGCGTAAAGCTTTGCTCTCAAATCTCTCAAGTATCACTCAAGAGTCTCTCAAATATTTTTCTTCATCTAACCTAGCATCCACCCACAACTAATGAATATATAGAGTAGGTGAGATCTAGGGTTTAGGATTTTTAGGAAACCCCTCTATGGGCTTGGGCTTAGCATTGAAGGAGGAAGCCCAACATTATGGACCTGTGTAAGGCCTATATGCTTGAGAGGCCCAATAAAGAATGGACAGCTAAATAACATGCGAGAAACAGAGCGGGTCCAGGGGAAGGAGACCCAAATGGTTCAAACCCTAAGGTAAACACTATAAATAGGAGCTAAAGACCACATGTATGGACTAATCTCTTTCTACTATATTTACGCAATCACAGTGCACACATACCACCCCTATTTCTGGCTAAGGCCACATAATCATGTACCATGATTTGCTACCTCCAAAATACCTAATTTATAAGTATCTAGAGAGAGCACAAGATCCGATATTGATCCACTAGCTCTTGGTTAGACATCCCTGTCATACTGACAGAACATATTCAATACATTTATTTGTCTTTAGCTTTCCATATATTTCCTCATCAATTTTTTCTCATTTTATCTTATAATATCAACAATAATATAATGGTCTTATTAATCTCATGTTAAAGAAGATAAGTTATTTCATGTCATAGAGACAAACTTGAGGGCTCCACCACCTGAAAAAAAAAATGACACAATTATAAAAGGATGTGTAGAAGAAAATTTTATCTCATGTAGCATCAAAATAATTTTTCTCATAATATAATAGTGAAATTATATTTCATCTCATTTTATTATTATTATTTTTTGGTAAATTTTTTATTCATTATTAAATATCTAATAATAATACAAAATCAAAGCAGATTAACCGTTCAGGAAGAGTGATTGGTGGAATAGTACTACTGGTCAGTGGCCACCGACATACCATTACCGACATTAGACATATCATTTTCGGTGATGCAGTGATGCCGTATTAGATTCGTTAAAATAATTGGTGCGAGATTAAGTCTAATCAAGAAACATAGATTTAAAAAAAAAAAAAATTCATTTTCGGTTCTCAGCAAATTTTACGATGCCCACTTTAATCCCTAGCAAATAAAAAGGTTATCCGTGGTCCTTAAAAAATTCAAAGGGGACTCATTTTAGTCCTTTTGAGGGATTAATATGGGTCTCTTTTGAATTTGTGAGGGACCACGATTTCAACTAAATGAGTCTATTTTGAATTTCTTAGGGACTAAGCATAGCCTTTTTATTTGTTAGGAACTAAAACAGGTATGTAAAATTTACCAAGGACCAAAAAGATATTTACTTAAAAAAAAAAGCGCCTAATTTTATGTGGTGCTGCACAATTGTGGAATCTGCTACCGTGGAAAAAGATAATCAAGGAGGATTCACCATGCCTAAAGTCTACATGGAATGAAAAGATTAGAAAGGTCCCCATTTGCCACAAAAATCAAGATATACCTAACACCACCTATCTCACACCGTAACTGATCGCCAATATATTGGAAAAGAGAAAAAAGAAAAATGAAAATAGCTTAAAAAAATAAATGAGATCAGAAAATGATAGACAAGTACAACAACGATATGTAGCCAAAAATATACGAGTGTTAGGAGCAAACCGAACGCAGCATCGCGTATTCTGCTGCTTGCTTTTAATACGATCCAATTAACAGTTACTAACTTTATGTAGTCCTTTTTCAGCCATCTGCACTGGAAATTCCAAAAGAATTTTAAAAAGCATTGAGGAATAAAGGTGTAGAATAAGCACGGTTTTAACTTAACTCTTTTTTCTTTGTAAACACTATCATAACTTCCTTTTTAACGACCATTACTGTAACTTATAATCATTAATTGAATAATTTGGGGGTTACAGTATTAGAAATGGATTAAGTGATGATAAAAGACATACCAATTTATCTCATGACTATCAGCTGTGGGAATACCTCGATGTAATAAAAAAAAAAAACATACCAATTTATCTTAAAATTTTGGATTGAAATATAATATTAAATTGTATAATCGCTTGTCCATAAATAATAAGGAAAATCATACTCTTATGTTGCATGAGATTGATCTCTCGTGTTATACTCACTTCGAAAAAATGTGTCTTTTTTTTTCTTTTTTTCTTTTTTCTAAGAATTAGTGGGGTCCACTTTATTTGTCTCTTAACATGAGATAACTTCTCTCATACTACATGAGAGAAGTAATCTCCAAATAATAATTGATCTCTGTCAATCAAGTAATTGGTTGTGACAAGAAATAAGAAACTCACAACATATTAGTATTTTTTATCTTATATTTATGTGTATTGATGTCAAAAGCAAATAAAAAATGTGGCTAAACAAAAAGTTATGATACGATACAAGAGTAGATATAAGAGTAACTCTCCGGTTCTCAATTTATATTAACAAAATAACAAAATTCAACTCCTACAATAAGGGTCATAAATATCTTTTTATAGACTAATTATAAATTAATCCAAAATTTAAAATCCTAAAATTAAGAAAAACTTCAAAAATAAATATAATGATAGTAAAATAATATTAAATCTTTGATTTAATAATAATAAAATAATTTTAAAAAATTATAAGGAAAAGTACATAGTAATTGTTAAATGGAAATTATTTTCTCATGCAACATGAGATTGCTTTCTCATATTGTGAGGTATCGAAATTCATACTTTTTTTTCTTGTTAACGAGTGGTGGATCTCATCACTTGTTGTGTCTATAGTATAAGATATACTACTTCATGTGACATGAGAAAAGAGAAGCTCTTTGTTAAAAGGTATAATATTATACGGGATATTTTATATTTATAAAATTTTTGTTTTCAAACTCTTATAAACTACATTATGTACTCAATGTACTATTCGGAGTACATAGTATAATTTATAAGAGTTTATAAATAAAAAATTTGTAAATATAACCTTCTCATATTATACATTCTTATTGAATTCTATGCAAGTTTATTAGGGGAGAATTATATTTACATACTATTATAAATTACACTATATACTCCCGAAAATACACTAAGTTACACTATGTACTTTGGAAAATACATAGTATAATTTATAAAAATTTATAAAAAAAATTATAAACATATCTTTCCCCAATTTATTATACAAAAAATGGGAAATAATAATCTCATGTTGCATGAGATTATTATCTTATGGATTAGATACAAATTGAATCTGGAACCCACTTTATTTTTTTTTTCTTCCTTATTCTCTCTCTTCTCTCTTACATACGTGTGTATTAAAAATACTGATGCGACTTTCTATTTAACATGACTAAAAAGCAATGTTATTAAAACCAGACCGACCCGGCCGGGACGACTGGGAAACCGATGAACCGGTCATGTAATCGGTCCGATTTTCATATTAGACCGGCCATGTTACAGAATCGGTGTGACCCGGTGCGACCCGACCGATTTTCGTAAAAATCGGTGACCCGGTCGGTTCAACCGGCGACCCGGCCCGGTCTATAAAAAAATAAAACTAATTGATTTTCATAAATTAATGTTTTTTTTTACTCTCAAACACAAATGGTTTGTTCTCTTTTGAAATATTTGAGTGATTTGTAGCTTATTAACTTACATAGATTGTGTACCTACAACACTAATATATCTTGATTATGCAATATGCAAGAAATTTTGATTTGATTTATAGTTAGAGATGTCGTTTACTAAACCTGAAACACTAGTATCATAAATATTATATGTTTGATTAATCTTTTGTTGAAAAATGATGTGTAATTTATTATTTTCATATTAAAATATTTAAAATTGGTATATATTTTTTACATGTATTTAATTATATTTATAGTTTTTTTAATATAAATTATATATTTACATATACTTACCGGTCATGCAGTTGAACCAATGACCCACTGGTTAAACCGGTGACCCAATAACTCGACCGGGTCAATAACCGAACCGGATTTAATAACATTGTTAAAAAGTCTAAAAGTGTAACACGAGTGATAGCTAGGCGTACTATCCTTATAGACGTATATGTACTGTACGTATAAACTAAAGAGACTTTCCTCTTTTTCATTTAATGAATTTCTTCCTAAACAATTGTTTTCAAGAAATTCCAATCTTCAGTCCTTATAAAAGGACACCTTAACCACAAGCAAGCTAAACTATTTCCCCAAAAGTATTAGTAGAAGTCCTCATAATTTCAAGTTCCTTTTCTCTTGTTTTCTCATATAGCTAGGGAATAAAAGTCAAGTAATGGGTGCCAAAGTTCTCTTTATTTTATTTATGTTCCTTGCTTTATGTTCAGCCTTCCCGGGCAAGAAGAAGCAATACACACCATGCAAACAGTTGGTGCTGTATTTTCATGATATTATTTACAATGGAGTGAATGCAGGAAATGCAACGTCTGCAATAGTAGCTGCTCCAGAAGGTGCTAATTTAACAAAATTGGCAGGTCAGTTCCACTTTGGAAACATAGCGGTTTTCGATGATCCCATCACAGTGGATAATAACCTTCACTCCAAACCCGTTGGGAGGGCACAAGGTTTTTACATTTATGATACCAAAAATACTTTTACTTCTTGGCTTGGATTTACATTTGTTCTTAATAGCACAGAGCATGAGGGAACCATAACCTTCGCTGGAGCTGACCCCATTTTGCAGAAGAGCAGAGATATCTCAGTGACTGGTGGAACTGGAGACTTCTTTATGCACAGAGGAATTGCAACCATTATGACTGATGCATTTGAAGGCGATGTTTATTTCCGGCTTCGTGTTGATATTAAGTTCTATGAGTGTTGGTGATATAAATTAATAGTCCTTCCTACTTGCTAGTCAATAAATTAAATAAAGCGATTAATAGTGTACCTTTCAAGTTGAACTTAATCAAGTGTTCTGGACTGGATGTGTACGCTTCGCCTTCTACTTCCTTCCCTTTTCAATAATTAATGAAGATTCCGATACAATAGACGAGTTTGTCTTCAATATAGCAAATTCAAAGATATGTTCTCCACCATATAAAAAGAAGGGTAAGATATTGTTATTACTCATTATCACTTTCTTTCACTGTTAGATTGTATTTAACTTTTTAAAAATCTTCTTTTTCTCTCCTTATATTTAATACTTTATATTTATTTTCACTTTGATATGGTTATGATTTTCTATATTTAATATGAAACACTAAATATGAGAAATCATAATCATATAAAAGTGAAAATAATTATAACCATTAGATCAACATAATTGATCTAATGGTAAAATAAAGTGATAGTAATATTGATAATAATACTAATTGGTAGTAACAATATCCTATCTCTAAAAAAGAGAGGTCTCCACAGCTTTTTTGCGGATGAGATTTATAACTACAATAATAATAAAAGAAAAAACATTCTGTCATACGAGTCAACGTTAATTAGTAAAAAAAATAGGATATTATTACTACCGATTAGTGCTATTAATAATGTCACTATCACTTTTTTTTGGTAGTCTGTCACTATCACTTTATTTCACTGTTAGATCGATTATGTTGATTCAACAATTATATTTAACTTTCTAAAAATCTTTTTTCTTTTCCCTATATTTAAAATTTATATTTATTTTTATCTTTGTATGGTTATGATTCTCCATATTTAATACTTTTACATTAAATATAAAAAAATCATAACCATATAAATATGAAAAGAAATATAACTGTTAGATCCATATAATCGATCTAACAGTAAAATAAAGTGGTGATGACAATGATGATAATACTAATTAATAGTGAAATAATAATAAAAGAAAAAGGGTTTCAACAACTTTTTGGCGCATGAGATTTAGGGTGTGCATGGCAACCATTCTGTTCCCTGGCACTGTTTCTGAAAAGAAACAATTCTTTTCGATTTCTATGCCTTGGAACAATTTTTGAGAAAAAAATGTGTTTGATAACATGCTTTATTTTTATTCCGAGAATGAGAATTGTGTTTGATAACATAACAAATAATAAAATAAAAAATCATTCCTATTAAGCATAATTTCTTTCGGATCATCACTTTCCTTTTCACATGGTGTGGTGGTGATGGTGGTGGCGGCGGCGGCTGTAAGAACCCGCACCGTTAATTAAGGAAATTAATCAGTTAATTATGAGTTTAATGAGATAATTCCATAATTAACCCTAATAATTATTATGAGGCTCTAATAATTATAGTAAGTGAGTAATAATGCTGAAAGTCGCTTTTCTGACGAAAAGTGCAGATACCGGTTCTGCTAGTCGGTATAAATGCGTACCAAAAAAGTATCCCGAAAAATTATAATACGTATATGATAATTACTAGAATAACTTGTAGGACATGTAAAACGAGTTTCAAGTTAAAATAATGAGAACCGGTGCCAGAAAATGGTACTGGCTATGAAAAGCGCATACTGGAAAGGTGCTCCGAAAAATATAAGAAAAATATGTTAATTCTTATAAAATTGAGTAGGTTAAGAATCCTGAGTTTAGGATTAAAATGCTAAGCGTAGCAATTAATGTTAATACTGTGTGTTTTAGGGTTAAGTGACTATAAATACTTATTTTGGGCACTAAACCCTAGGCCATAACACTATCCTACGTGAGTGCTTGGAGGCTGGTCAGCTGGTGCCTTGTCCTTCGGTTCTCTTCTCCATTTTGAGACCAAGTTGCTATCTTTCTTGATTTTCCTTCACATTTCCTCCTTGTAAACACTTGTGGGTGGCTTTGTGAGGGTGAGAGGTAGCCTTTTTTGAGATTCTAAGCGCTTGTGTGTGAGGTTCTTGTGCTGAGTTTGAGAGTTGGGTGAGAGTCATCTTGTTCTTGGCTTGTGAAGCTTCAAGGAGCTTCCTTTGTGTTGAAAGGTCCAAGCTTGTGTTGTCATTTTCGTTTTGGAACCAAGTCAGAATCTTTGGAGTTGTTTGGTGAGCTCCAAGAGCCTCCCATTTCTGAGTTTGAAGCTTTGGTGAGTTGCCTAACCTTGATCATGAGTTTAAAGGGTTTAAAGGTGGCGTCTTTGCATGTAAATGGGTTAAGCAAGTAACCCACTGGTATGTGGACCTAAAACAGATTTAAAATGCATGCTTTGAAGTTTTAAAGTGTTAAAAATGGTACCTTGGATGGATATCTTCGCGAATGCAGAAGCTGCTGTCTGTCGCGAAATATCCGGATATGTGTATCCCGATATTGATATCCGGATATGGTATCCGGATATTGATATTCGGATATGGGGCCTTTGATATCCGAATATGGATATCCGGATATGCATATCCGGATACGATATCCGGATATGCCTCGGCGAATATCCGGATATTCTGGGATTTCGAAGAACAGTAGTTGTACTGTTCATACAGTAGGCTATTGGGGGTTTGTGGACCCTAGATTGGTGAAGTTGAACTTCTGTAATAATCGAACTAAGTCAGAATCAATGGATTAAGGACTTATGGCTTGGTGAGAAGCCTTAAGACGTAAAACGTAAGAAAGGCGTTGTCTTTATGATGTATGCTTGTAGTGCATGTTTGTTGATTTATTATTGGTCCATATCAGATTGTGATTATGATGTGTTTGGACTTTGAGGATTGGTTGGACTCTTGGCTTGGAGTGTTAGCTTGCAAGGTAAGCTTTCGTGTCCTCGGTTTAGCCATGTTGTGGTTCCACCGTGTCCCATGGGGGTATGGTTATATGCATACTGTGTTACATGCTTTGGATATTTGAAATGTTGTTGAGCTTTATGTGTAATGGCTTTTAATATGCATGTGTTATTCCTTATTGACGGTAAGCCTAAGTATGTGGCATCATACAAAACGGTGATCCGGGGTGGATGCAAGTGGCGTCTTGCACTATGTGTGGGTATTTGGCGTATATAAATCATGCATTTCTCTGGCTAGTAGAATAGAATTGACACACATGACATGATTATCTGCTGCATTGCACTATTTTAGAACTGATGATGATAAACTGCTTTTGAACTTATATTGCACATGTAAGTGAGTTTGGGGTGGAAGATCCTTGAGGACCCCTTGCCTTACTGAGATCCTTCAGGTTCAGTTAGTATGGGGACTGATGCCACTGGCGGCAGGAAGCCAGAGCTTAGTTGATGATTATTGCTGTTATATGTTATATGCTGGCATGGCTGGATTGGATGCTGTTTATGTTTTCTGCCTTTATCATTATGTTGTTATTGAGTTGAGACTTATGTGGGCTTTGTTTCCTTATTTGGGGTGAGCATGAGAGTTGTCTATGCCACTATGTTGTTAGTACTTTTGAGTTGAGTTGTATAAACTGTTAGTTGGTCTGGTCTACGTGTGGTAGTTCCGTGACTAGAGACATACTTATGTTATTTAATTAATGAGGTATTTCAGTTAGCTGTTTATTGCAATGTACATACAGGCGATGTTTTGAAAATGGTTAAGTAATCAAGTTGGTAATGATTAATGACATCATAATTGAAAAGAAAAAGATATTCCGCATTTTTGTAATTAAGCGCAGCTTAATACGATAGCATGATAACATTACCGGATATATACGGGGTGTTACAGCGGTGGTTGTAGTAGTGGCGTTGTGGTGGTGGTGGTGGCGGTAGCGGTGGTGTCATGGTGGTGGAGGTGATGGCATGGTGGCGACGACGGTGGCAATAGTGGTGATGGCATGGTAGCAGCAGCGGCGACGGTGGTAATGGTGGTGGTGGTGGTGGTGTGGTGGTGGTGACGGTAGTAGCTACGGCGATGGTGGCGGTGATGGTAGTGATGATGGCGATGATGGTGGCAGTGACAGCAGTGGCCACAACGATGACGGTGATAATGATGGCGATGGTTGTGGTGGTGGTGGTGGCAATGACGTAATAATGGCAGTGGTGGCAGCGATAGTGGTGGTAATGGTGGCAGTGGCAGCGGTAGTAGCGGTGGTGAAAGCGACGATGGTGATGATGATGACATGACGATGGCGGTGGTGTAGTGGTGGCGATGGCGATGGCATGTTAATGGTAGTGGTGGCGGCAGCGGTGGTGGTGGTAACAACAGTGTCTAAGACGATGGTGATGGAGATGACATGGTGGTGATGGTGGCGGTGGTGGTAGTTGCGGCAGCGGCGATGGCGGTAGTGGTGGTGGTGGTGGTGGTGGCAATGACAGTGGTGGTGACGTGGAGGTTGTGGTGGTACGATGATGGTAGCGGTGGTCGTGTCGGGATGGTGGTGGCGGTGGTGATGATGGTAGTGGTGAAGAGTAATCAAGAGAGATAAGTGTTTCTCATTCTGTGCCCAGAATCAAAAAAGCAAAAAAAAATTGATTCTTTTTTCTGTTCCTCAGGACAAAAAATAAACTGGTTCATCCCGGGAACAAAAAAGTAAATCGATTTTACCAAACGAGTTTCATATTCATCTCTGTTCCCGGGAACAGAAATTAAAAAAAATTGATTCCGAAAAAATTGTTATGCACACCCTTATAACTACAATAATAATAATAATAAAATCATTCTGTCGTACGAGTCCATGTTAATTAATAAGCGATTACGTGAATGTACATTAATAATTTTATATTTACATTATATTTTTAACAACACAGATTTTAAGAAATTTTATAATTAAATATTTATTAAAAAAAATTAAGGAGAGAATGATGCGATCATAAAGGTGGCTCTAATATCAGGTCAATAACCAATTAAAGTAAAAAATTCAATTAAATTAAGCGAAGACAAATGAATAAGTTTATAATTATATTATATTTCTATTATAAATCTTTTAATAATAAAACTATTGCGTGGTAATATTAATAACTGTGTCATTCCTGTAAAAATAAAGTTTACATATTAATAAAGGGAAAGATTATATTTTCAAATTGTTTATTTACAAACTTTATTACGCGTGACCCGTAAAACACTCTTGAGTAAAATATTACCGGTCAGACATAATATAATTTGTAAATTTGTGGAAAAAAAAATTGTAAAC